GTGTCCTGGCTTCTCTACTTCCAGTTCAACTCCCTATAAATGACCTGGGAAAGCAACATAAGATGGCCTATGTGCTTCACCTCCTGTTTGCAGTGATGGAGAGCTGAAAGAAACTGCTGCTCCTGGCTTTGGCCTGACCCAGCCTTGACTGTTGTGGACATCTTGAAGGGTTCAATCAGCAAATGAAAAATCTATTTATCTGTATTTATTCTGTAGGCAACTTGTTTTTCAAATAAACAAGTACATCATATATGACACACACACACACACACACACATCTATAGTAATAGTGCAGAAATTCATAAGAATTAAGTGAGACTACAAATTACTTGGCACCTAATAAAATTCACAAAATAGTGATTATTAATCACATTTCCAATTACATTTTAGTTCTTTGCAACATTCAACTTAGATATATATAGCACTATCTTGAAGAGAATTCGTTTTTTACAGATAAGTAATTCAAGAGCATTAGAATTAGTTTGTAGATTTCACAAGAGTGTGGTGAGATCAGAGGAGAGTACTACTGTATTAATTTGAAATGAAATGCTTCAGAAGACCTTACAGAAGAGGTGAAATTAAGACAAGCCTTGAAAAATCAATAATGTTTTGAGACACAGAAAATTATGTTGGTCTTGATTTATGTGTGTGTATAAATATATTTGTCTATACATAGAGGAAAACTTGTGTAAGCTCATGAAAATAAGTGAATTATACAATGACCCTATAGAGGAACAAGGTAGAAGGTGAATTGTGATATCTTTGTTTTATAAAGAGAGCTCTTACAAGAAAACAACCTGTTAATTGTTAATAGTTCTTTTTTTGTGCTGGTCTTTTTTCTCAGTCTACTAACATGATTTTGGGAAAATACTTAATTGCCTTCCTTGTATTCTGAAAAACAATGTTCGTTTTCACTATCGTTTCTGTTTTGGAGCCCCTTTGTAGTCTCACTTTGTTTCCCTGCTTTGTTTCTTCCAACTGTTCTCTAACTTATGTAGCCAGTCATTTTGCTTTCCTTTCTATTTCATATCCTTTTTCCCCTAAAAAACTTATTTATTGATTTTACTTTACTTGAAAGATAGAGAATTATATCAGAGTTCTATGCTGTTTTACTCCCCGAGTGCCTGAAACAGCCAGGCCTAGGGCAGAGCAAAAACAGAAACCTAGGAAGCCAGGTCCTGCAGGTGGGTAGGAGGGACCCCAGTACAGGTGCCATAACCTGCTGCCTCTCAAGTGCCCATTAGCCGGAAGTGGGAATCAGAAGAGCAGGCGCTCTGATGCAGCGATCCCAAGAGGTTTTGAAAGGCACAGTTAGAGAATCAGAAACAGAGAGGAATCTCTTGATCATTATGTGTTGTCCTTATTATCTCTGAATGATTTTTGTGTTAAGGTCTGTTTTGTCTGATGTTAGAATGGTTATACCAGCTTGTTTTTCCTTCCTGTTCACCTGCATGTTTCTTTCTAGCCATTCACTGTCTCTGTATACTTTTAAACACTTGAAGCAGTAGTATCCTAGTTCTGGGAATCTGTTGAGTTGAGTAGGAGAAAGAAAATTCTTCATTATTTGTTGAAAAGCAAGGGAAGTGACACAACAAAGTTGAAAGCCTGAAATGTAAAACAAAGCTAAATATCAACAGCAGTTTGTTTATAGCAGACTGTGCTAATATACTTAAATTTGGTTAAGGAGCTTGGTCTAAAATTTCTTGAAAGTTTGCCAATTTAATATATACATGTTTCAGTAACCCTACTGCAATATAAAAATGATTGTTAAATAAGTTGAGATTTTTCTGTCTTTCCCCTGTCACTGTGGCAAAGGTCTATGGCCTTTTTCTCCCTTCCTCCTGCCACAGTGGTAGGAGGTACAGGTTCTTTCCTCTCTTGAAGCCCCTCCTGTCAGTAGGACAGGAGCTCCTCTTCTCAGCTTTTCTAATAAATCTTACTTTAAAATTAACAAAAAAAGTTGAGGTTTCTAAATAGTTCATTATGTTATTCTGTTAGCATAAATATGTTCTTTCCCTTCAAGCTTTTTCTGAAAAATTCTGCCTGATAATACTATAGCTAGAGAAGTCCCCAGTGGCGCTAATTCCTTAACAACAAAAAGTTGCAAATTAAACACAGGTGTAGTTTTTCAGTACTGTATAGTTTGGTATCACCAAAATACTTTTTTTTTCCTTCTCTATTTTACTTTTACTTTTATGATGCAATTCCGTAGGGTCTGGGGTATTTGATATTTAGCATTGAGAATTAGCTTTTTGAGTTTGCTGTGTGAACATCTTTTTTTTTTCCCCAAAAATTTCTCATGAATTTTTAGGGTTTTTTTGTTTTTTTTTTTTTTTTTACTATAATTGAGCCCGTAAAATCATGTATTTACTTGCTGAAGTAGCTTTCAGCAACTCGTCTTTTGTTAAGGAATAACTGTCTTTCCATCTTTTACTCATAGAACTGTGTTTCATCCCTACTACTTTTCTAATTCTATACTTTCGTCTTTATGGCAAAATTCACCTTTCCAAATGAATTTGAATTATGGATGTCAGTTTCTTATTTGTTTCTTAATTCTGACTGTGATTTTGCTTCTCAGTCTTGTTTCTCTTATGTCTCCTTCTATGAGGAAAGTAATAGCTTTATGTGATTGTTTTCAAGAATTGTTTGAACAATAAAAGTAATCTGTTTTTACTTTTTCTATTATGATTTAGTTTTTCCCACATATCGAACCTCTTGTTAATAAAATAGGCAATATTTTACTCATCTTAATGTGAGACTTTCTTGTAGCAGTAAGCCACTTTCACACTGATGTAGTAATAGCAAAGTAATTATAAAGATCAATAAGACCAAACTTTCATAGAAAATGTAGATCCATTAACAGTATCTGCAGTAAGTATTCTCACTGTTTTCTGCTAGTGAGACTTAATTTTACACTTTTTTCTTGTTTTTAAAATACATTTTTTAAATTTGTTTTAAAGACAAAGTTGCAATGAGAAGGGAAGGAGAGAGAAGGAGGAAAGGAGAGAGAAAGGGAGAATGGATTAATCTTCCCTCTGTTAACTTTCCAAATGACTGTAGAGCTGGGCTGTGCCAGGTGGAAGACAAATCTGGAGCTCCTTTTCCCACATGGTTGCAGGGAGCAAAGCATTTGGCTAAATCTGTTGCCTTCCCAGACACATTGGCAGGGAGCTGAACGGGAAGTAGAGCCGCTGAATCTCAACTGGAGCAAGTATGGGCTGGATGTCATTGTCACGGGAGGTGGCTTGATGTGCTATGCCACAACACTAGCCCCAATTGTACTATTTTCTAAGCCATGAAATATAGAGAGGGTATTGTATTGCTGACTGTGAAAGATTGAAGTAACAGATTCAAATAACAGAACATGATTGTTAAAAATACATATATTGTTTCTTTTTTGGGCAGACTTTTTTTTTTTTTCAGTTTGTTTGGTCTTATTTCCATGAGTTCATCTCTGTTAGACATCAGAGTAGTATTTGTTTATACCAGACACTGTTAAAGCATTGACAGTTGGGTTAGGACGTTAATGTGAAATGTGCTCACATTTTAGTATGCCTTTGTTCTTTTAATATCTGTTTCTGTTGCCATTTTGTGTAGTTATCATATTTTTTCACTTTTGTGCTTTATTAGTGTGTAATTTCAGTCCATGTATGCAATGTGCAATGATGAGATCAGTACTCTGTATACCTGGTAACAGTACATTATTCACGATAAATTAGTTGGAAACATGGCTTAAGCTGGCTGAATTTATGATATTCAACAGGCATCAAGTCAACTGCTGGCATTCTGTTAAAGCTGGGAGTGGAAGTTTTTAGGAGAACTGATATTAGCTAGTCCTAACTGGTAACTGTATGAATAATGGCTGTTGTGCTTAACTACTTACAAAATAGTATTTCATTTAATTCTTAATAATACTTAATTAGACAGGAAGTTGTATTCTCTTTTATAACTGAGGCTTGGTGAAGTACTTTAATTAAATTCGCATAGCTGAGTAGGACAGCTAGAATATGAATCCAGCATGTTGGAATTCAGAGTCAATCTTAACCACTGTTGTACGTATTTATATTAGTAAACCAGAAATAGTAGAGGGAGTTGAGAATGTTTCACACATACAAATGAAAGTGGCCCTTCACCCAAAGACTAGGTCAATTAAATGTAAGAATTTAATGGAAAGGCTAGTTGTCTCTAAAGCTGAATCTTGATTGTGCTACAGCAACATCATAAACAGCATATAAAAGTTTGTGAAAAAATTGCAAAGATATTATTCCTACAACTTAGTACTATTAATGTAGTTTTTTCCTTGATCATGGATATGTTCTAGTTACTAGCATAGTAAATGCTAGATGTTAATCAATAACCTCTTGAATGAACAAAAGAATTGATTTGTGTAGGGTGAATTTATTCCTAAATGTGTCTGTCTGTTGTTTAGAATGAAGGGATACCTAGTTTGCTAGTGTTATTTACAAAATATGATTTAATAATATAATAATTAAGGGTGATTTGATGAATTTTAACATACCATTCATTTTATAGATGTAAATGTTATATGACATAGATAAGATCCTGTAAAACTTTTATGATATAGATTTTTAAGTTTAGTTTTAAGTAATAATAAAATGAATTTCATGCCTTATAATATATTTTAATTTAACTATATTTTGTTATTATTACTTTTATAAATCAGATCTTTTCCTGGGGGATGGAAAGTTATTTGTGCTGAATCCTATCCAGTGATAATATATTGTATTTTTTCTCTTTTACAAGTATTCAAATTGTCCTTTTCAGTCTTGATAAAAATCAGATTTTATTTGCTTGTTTCAACTCTTAAAGTCTGTAGCTTTTAAACCTTGGATCAAAGTTCATTTGACACCAAAAACTTGCCATTGTTAAGTGACATAGTTATTATGCTTGCTTGTTAGTCTAGTTTTTGTTATCTTATTGCTATAAATAGCTTCTAGTATCCTCACTAGTTAATGTTTGTTTTTTCTGTTTACTTTTAGCTGGTTGGTGGAGAATTTGACTTGGAGATGAATTTTATTATCCAGGATGCTGAAAGTATAACATGCATGACAGAACTTTTGGAGCACTGTGATGTAACATGTCAAGCAGAAATATGGAGCATGTTTACAGCCATTCTACGAAAAAGTGTTCGAAATTTACAGACTAGCACAGAAGTCGGGCTAATTGAACAAGTATTGCTGAAAATGAGTGCTGTAGATGACATGATAGCAGGTATGAGGTTTTCTGACTGAAAAGTGTGATTTAAATGTTTCAAAATCTCATGTACGTTTCTTGATGATCTTCATAGGAAATATACTTGTTATAACTATTATTATTTAAAATAGACAAATAGAAATGTATGGAAAAATTTGCCTTTTTATTAGTGGAAAACCCAAAGTATGGGAGAAGACAAATACTTCTTGTATTAGTTGAACATAATTAGCATTTTTGCTTCTCTAAAATTTTGAAAATACGTATTAGTTTTGCAGATAGTACTATGAAATCAGAAAAATAAAAAGTATGTTTTTATGTAATATGCAACTAAATCTCTGTGTAACTAAAATAACACCATACATATTACACTTGGGTAAAATGATCCCTTTTCAAAATTGTCACACTCTTGTGTGCTTCACCTTCCATACATACAACTGACTGTGACAGGAGATACTCAGAATCTTAGGATTGGCAAAGTACATCTTTTGGATGTATTCATTTTACTTTGATAAATTGAGAGGAAAATAAATATAAGAACAAAAGGCAAAATGTGCACAATATTTCAATGTAAAAATTTTTTGTGCTTGTTAGAGGTTATTTAAAAAAAATCTTTGAAATCTGTGATTCCTCTTTGGAAATGTATTCTCCCCTGTGGTTAGATATACTTCACTAAGTATGTCTTGACTGGTAATAACATAGTTCACCCATTATAATTTCTTGAAAATAAGTTTAGAGTTTGAAAACTTGATTTTTGTAGGCCTTGAATTCTCAGTGTCATATGTGTTCTGACAAAAAATCATGCATAAATTGAAACATGCTAATACAATTTTTACAATATCATATCTTGTCCTTAAAAGTAGTTCAGATACAAGATAATTCTTTTTAACATTTTGACATACATTTAAGTAACCAAAATTTATGAAATAAAGCATTAAACAAGACAGAATGAAATGAACAGTTTCGCTAAACAAGAATGCTCTGTTAAGTAGTATTTTTAACAAATTTGTTCTCTTAGAGAATATGTTACAATCATTTCTAATTGCTTTCTGGGGTAATGTATATTGATCAATTTACTGATTTTTGTATTGGAAGATAATAATTTGTTAAAAAATGAGATCCAGACTTAATTTAGAAAATATCTTTTAAGTGAAACCATACTAGTGTAAAGTCATGGGTTCTTGAGCAGGAATTTGCTTTCATAGAAGTTTATGAGTACATACTGTATTGACCATCCTGTGATTTTTCAATCCTTATCTGAAAGTAAGGCTTGATTGATCATTTGTTTTTAATAAAGTGGCTGCTGCTTTGCAGAGTACAGTCTGAGAGTGATTTGAAATCACATACACATTAGTACACATATATGCAGTTTATGTTCTTTGGGACATAGAGTGACAGGATGGTAGTCCACTGAAATTCTTATTTTGAAATTATCACATTAAGCTCCTTATTTTTGTTATTCTTTATCCTCAGTAATAATAGCAACACAACATTTTTATTTATTGTTATCTTAAGCATTTCCTCCCCTAAGAACTTGACTATGGAATCGTACAAGAAAAGCAAAAATTTCTTTCTAATAGAGAATTAAAATTTAAGTATTTTATTAAGGAAACTTAGTAGCCACTAAAACATTGCTTTTGACCTCTTGATTTTGTTGCGGTATTTTGAGTTGGAAGATATTCTTTTCATTTGATAATGTAAATGTAGTACTAAATGTTGGTTTAAACATTTATAAAGAATTTCATAGTATTTTTTCCCTTTGAGAAATCTTATTGTCTTGAAAAATGGTCTTGTTATAAGTCAGATACAGGCTGTTTGATTTTCTGTATATGATACATGATGTTTGAAAATTTTTGCTATTAAATGCAAATGTAATAGATTATTTTTGTGACATACGTAGGACATAAGGTAAAAGTTTACAAGTAGAAATTTAATTAAAACAACGTTTATGTGTAAACCTTTTAGAAGTCATCTGTGTAGATTGCCATTGCAGCTAACTATTTGTTATTAGCTTGGTTTTTTAAAAAAGACTTATTTATTTTTATGGAAAAGTCAGATATACAAAGAGAAGGAGAGACAGAGAGAAAGATCATCTGTCTGATGATTCACTCCCCAAGTGACTGCATGGCTGGTACTGCGCAGACCCAGGAGCCAGGAGCTCTTCCAGGTCTCCCACACAGGTGCTGGGTCCTAAGGCCTTGGGCTGTCCTTGACTGCTTTTCCAGGCCACAAGCAGGAAGCTGGATGGAAAGTGGGGCCACCAGGATTAGAACTGGTGCCCATATGGGATCCTGGCGCATGTGAGGCGAGGACTTTAGTCGCTAGACCACTGCGCCGGGCCCTATTAGCTTGAATTTTTAAGATGCTTGATTTTTATCAGGAATTGTTTCCTAGAAATAGGCCAGCTAACATAATGTACTGATATCTTCATATACTTTATTACCTAAATGATGAAACTTTTGTTTAAAAAGTTTCTCCCTCAAAATGTTGAATCGTTTTACTTAAGATTGCTTCCTGACTGTGAGGTTAGGTAAGACTCAGGTAATTATTTACTGAAATGAATAATAAAATTCAATTTATATTTTAAAATGCTTAAAATGAGCATTTTCAGGTGCCTCAAATATAAGATACCAATCCATGATAATGGGTATTATTTTTACCAATAACTTAAGTTTTAAAATTTAGTTTTTTGCTTGATTAATGAGGAAACTTGATGCTACATTTGTATGTTGATTTTGAATTTATGTAGCATCTTTATTAGTACTTTAGTAATTAAGAATATGAAGTAACTGTTTCATTTAATTACTTGCAAAATTTGTATGTATGAATCACGAAAGATAGAATAGTTATAGACGAGAAATTAAATGTGTAATTTTTCTAATTATTTGTTTAACTGGTATATCTTTGTATGCATGTAAACACTAACATTGGCATAAAGATATCATTAATATTGCACTAAATGTATACTTCCATTTATAAACTAGTAAGTAAGACTGAGTTTGAATCCTGACTCCTTAAGTTGCTGAATATATTCTCATGGGCATTGTTGCCAAGATGTATAGATTACAATTTACTGAGTGAATAGGAAATAATAATTATATCTATTAATCAGGCTTCTTACAAGGAAGTTTGAAGTTGAACCATGGAAACAACTTTGAATAATATAATATTTTAAACTGTTGTTAATGAGGAAAGGAATATCTATAAGATATTGTTTTGTGAATAGGTAGTTGTGAAAGCAAATATGCTCAACCTGCACGTTATCATTTGAAAATAACCAGTTTGCAGTTTTAACTCTTTGGACCCATATATTTTCTCTGTGTGCAATAATGTATGAGTATGTTTGTGTATGTATTCTGGAAATATATGAAATCTCTATTAGGAATCTGCCAAGAAAGCTTAATTGAGTGATAGATCCAAGGAAGAAAATCCAATATTTCAAACAACTTTGATTATCTAATGAGTGAAGTGTTAATATGTCTATTCAGTAGAAACTTTAGTCGTATTAATATAGATGCATATATAAATGACAGTTAATAACATTTTCTTTTTCAAAAAGTGTGTTACCTTGACAGATGTCAGCTCATGACTAGAGTTCAGAATAACTTTATTTTCCTTTGAAGATCTTCTAGTTGATATGTTGGGGGTTCTTGCCAGCTACAGCATCACTGTCAAGGAATTGAAGCTTCTGTTCAGCATGCTTCGAGGAGAAAGTGGAATCTGGGTAAGCTGTGGTCAGAGGGAGCAGCGTTCCTTAGCAGTCCATTAGTACTTACTGGCTGACGGTTTGTCTCTAGAGAGCTGTTTATTTGAATTGTAATGGAAATTGTTTTCCTCTTTAATAGTTTAGTAAATTATTTAAGACAAAATGTTTCTTTAGTTAGAAAACTGTCCAGAGGTTAAACTGGTATATTGATTGTTATTGTTAAATTTGTGCTTTGATTTTGTTTTTCTTTTATTGTTTCCTCAGCCAAGACATGCAGTAAAATTACTGTCAGTTCTTAATCAGATGCCACAAAGACATGGTCCTGATACTTTTTTCAATTTCCCTGGTTGTAGTGCTGCGGTAAGTTTTAAGTACATATATTAAATTTTCAAGCATTTATGTTAAGTCTATTTGCATATGATAAAGCCTTTGAATTTAATAAGTGCAATTTGATGATTTTTGATTAATAGTGTAACCATGGCATTAATTCAGATTAGAAAATTCCCATTACTTTCTTAGAATAACTTATGCCTATTTGAAAAGGGTTCCTAATCCCAAAACTACCCCCTATTTCCATCTCTAAGTTATTTATTTTAGTGTTTGTTTTTTTCTTTTCTGCATTGCAATTTAAATAAAAGCAAACACTATCTAGTCTTTTTTTGGTAGTCTTTCACTGAATGCTTTTGTGATTGTGTTGGTTTCATTAGTAGTTTATTCTCTTTTTATTTTGAGGAGTATTATGATGTATCATTATTTATTCATCTAATAGTTATTGGGAATTTTGGATTCTAATTTTTAGTTATCATAAATATAAATGAAATGAGCATTTGAGCATAGATTGTTTTGTTGTCTCCTAATGAAATACTCGATGCATTTGTTGAGTTTTAGTGTGTGTTTACCTTCGTGAAAAGTGGCAGAGAGGAAATTTTATGTTCCCATAAGCAGTGTATTAAGGTCCCAGTTGATCTGCATCCTGGACATTTTTATTCTTTTTAATTTTATTAATTAAAATGGTTATGTAATAATGCCTCTTTAGTTTTAATTTTGTATTTCTCCCATGATTTTTTATCTTTCACATTTTTCATGTGTTTATTGCCCATTCTTAATGACTTTTTCTGTAAGTTTTGTGTTGAAATCCTCTACTCGTTAAAAAAAATTGGTTATTTCTATTATTATTCAAATAATCAATATAATTCAATATAAGTTGATCTGTTAGATATACAATATCAAATATTTTCTTCCACTCTAAGGATTGCTTTCATTTTCTTACCAATACTTCTTATTTTTAGCTATAATGGTTTAATTTTAATTAATTCTGGTTACTTGGTGCTTTTAAATTCTAAGATTATTGTAAACTGTGCTCATATTTTTTTCTTTGATTTTTCTTCTAGAAGTTGTGTATTTTAGATCCTATATGTAGGCCTATGATCCCTTTACTTTCAGTTATTTTTTTTCCTGGAGATCCAATTTCGTTTGAGAATTAATTGGTTACATAACCATTTGTTGAAGTAGCAGAGTCCTTTAGGCTTTGGGTTATTTGACAGTTTCCTTGAAAATATATTGTACAAATTGTGTGGATTTGTTTGTGAGCTCTGTATATTTCTATATTTTTGTCAGTATCATATAATATTTAGTACTGGAAGTAGATAGTTAACAGTTCATGAAATCAGGTATAAATACTCCATTTTTAAATTTATAATTAATAGCTTTGTTGTTTTCAGTTGTTCACATTGCTATTATGTTGTTGAGTAAACTTCTCAGATTTTATCCTGCCATGAGTTTTATTATAATACATTGGATATATGAAACAGTATGTAGAAATAGATAGGTTATGTTGGAGTTTTTGAATCTTCTATATTCAGAACACAGTATTTCTCCCTTTATTTAGTTTTGTTTGTTTTGCTAGTTTTTTTAATGTATATCATGGAGGAAAGAGTTTCTAAAATTTGTCTTCTTCTGTTAGTTTGGTATAGTTTTTGCAGTTTAATTTAGTATTTAGTGGAATGGATTGTGATAGAAATGATGTGGAAAGTACCAAGGTGATTTTTTACAGATAGAGTATTGCATACATATATGCAATAAATAAGAAAAGAGGACTATTTTTAATTACTTGAGCGATGGTACTGCAATAAGCTATTTTTGCTGATATGAAAGTACCATTTATTATGTTCTTGTCAAAGGTGTGAGAACTAGGAGTCTTATCCAGTCTCAGTGTGTTTACAGGCATGAAGAAATTAACATATCTATTATAATATGTAATATACACTGAATTGATATAATATCATTTATATATTTTGATAGAGTAACTTACTGTTTGATATCTTCAGTTAATATGTCCGTTTTTTTAATACTCTGACTCAATTTCCAGCATGTGCAATCTGGCTTATAGAAACTAACATTTATATACAATGCAAGAAAACTAAACATGTTACCAGTAAACAAAACCATAAGTTGAATTTACTACAAAACAAAATAGTGAGATAAAAATAAGCCTCATTTAAAAAAAAATCAAGAAAATTTGCATCATATTGCAGTAAAACATTTTGAATATTTATGTATGAAAGGTCATTATGTGGGAAATTTGCATTTATTTATAATTTAACTCTTCTTCTGTAATATTTTTCTGTTGTATGTCCTAATTGTATATGTGTTTATGTGTGTATTTTTAAGATAGACATCTTTAAAAACATTGACTACTTTGAGATTATTTGCCCACATTTTAATTATTTTCTGTATATTAGGATATAATACTGAAGTATACAACACGTCTTTAAAAGGGTCATGGAAAATTAGTCTTTAAGTATGCATGGAAAAATTTCCCTCTTGTCATATTTTGAATCCTTTTTGTAGATCATATACTTTACTTTGAGAAAATATAAAGGGCAGATAGATGCAAAACCAGCTTATTACAATAAAAATTACAAGTGATATTGTATATGTAGATAATGAAACTAAAAGAAAACAAAATAAAAGCTAGAATGTTTTGACATCTAGAGAAACTTCACAGTTGAAGGGCATGTTAGTCTGAATAGAGAGATAGTTGCGATGTTTGGGGAAGAAGAATGCGCTTTTGATAGAAACAACATCAAGTCTAAAGAAGTGGTTGTCGATGAATAGAACAGCTGACATATTTCGGAACATAAGTGATTGAAAAAAATGTATGGGATATTAGAATAATAATGTGAATTGAAATTCTTATATTACTTTTGGAAATTGAAAGTTTATGCAGATGATCATTGATATATAACTTATTTGCTGTGTTTGAGGATTGTCATTGTAAATAGGATGTGTTTTAAAAGAGCAGATCATCATTGCTTCTCAGCCTTTTGGCTAAGATCAAGTGTAGAAGAGCAGGTCAGCTGTCAGATAATAATGCATGAAGGGATTGATCTAGTAAAATAAATACATTCACATGTATTTCTTCTCATTTATTTCTTAAAATGGCTAGCTTTTTTTTGACTACTTTTACCTACTGAGTCTTAATTATTCCTTTGCTAATCTGGGAGTAGATCTTAATCCTTTTTGATCATTAAACATCAGCAGTTCAGTGTCTGAACCTTAAGCCTTGTGATTTATTCAGCAGTGTGAGCCTGGTGAGCATTACTACTGACCCTTGCATTGAGTCATTGATGATCCCACTCCCATCCTGCAGCACAGTCACTGATGATCCCACTCCCATCCTGCAGCACAGTCATTGATGACTCCACTCCCATCCTGCAGCACAGTCATTGATGATCCCATCCCATCCTGCAGCACAGTCAGTTTTGGTACTAGAGAGTCATACTTCCTTAATCAAGTAAGATATAAATCATAAAGTGCAAATTATGAGGCATGTGTATAAAGGACTGTAGAAAGGGATTTCAAGAGGTTCTTTCAAAAGGGAAAACGGAACTAAAGATGTTTGCTTTGGTTTGAAAATATTTTAGAATCTGTCCACTTTTTTTGTTTAATACAGATTTTTCCATGAGCTTCTTTTTAAGAACCCTCAGATATTGGAAAAATTGGAGGGGAAATTTTTGGAGTACATTTTGAAATCTACTACATAATCTAGAGTAGAAACTTACTTTATCCAATATTTGAAAACAATGTTTCTGTACTTTAATGAGATAATAGTTTTTATTTTTGGTATTTGCTCATGAACTTTGATAGTTATTCCTTTATCACGTTTTAACTGTAAAAGTCTTATTTAACCTTAATTAATTATTTTCTTCAACTGATACTTGTGTATTTTTTTTCTTTGCGTTTTAGGCAATTGCATTGCCTCCTATTGCAAAGTGGCCTTATCAGAATGGCTTCACCCTAAATACTTGGTTTCGTATGGATCCATTAAATAACATTAATGTTGATAAGGATAAACCTTATCTTTATTGGTAAGTAATATGTATTTCTAATTTAAAAAAAATGTTAGTGATGATGCTTACATAGTTGAACAGGTTAGGAAGGGTCAAGGATCGGGGTAGTGGGTGAGACAGTAATATGTTTTGTAGTAGGACTTTGTCTTTAAGTACTTCATTTTATAAATGTATGTCAACATGACGTATTAGAGAGTATGCAAACGTATAGACACATGCACATATTAAGATTATAAAGATATCTATCTAAGGAAATTTTTTTATTTTGCTGTTGAGTTCATGCTACTTCATTATATTTTTATGATTTGTTTATTTATTTTTTGGAAAGTCAGACAAAAGGAGAGACAGAAGAGAAAGAGCTTCTATCTGCTGGCTCACTCCAACAGTGACCACAGTGGCTGGAACTGAGCCCATCTGAATGAAACCAGGAGCTAGGAAGCAGGCACTTCTTCTGGGTCTCCCTTGCAGGTGCAGGGTCCCAATCCCTTGGGCTGTCCTTGACTGTTTTCCTAGACCACAAGCAGGGAGTTAGAAGGGAAGTGGAGCAGCCAGGACAGAAACCAGCACCCATATGGAATTCCGGTGGATGCAAGGTGAGGACTTTAGCCAAAAGGCTACCCCATTGGGCCCCTCCAGTTATGGTTTAAAAGACTTTCTCTGTCCAGTTTTCTTCAATGTTGATCAGTTACAAAGTGCTTATGATACCTGTTGCCAGAGCAGGGAAAAAAATTTCCAAATTCTTTTTAAATTTTTTTCAGTTTGTCTTTTCAGTCTACTTCAGTTTTATGAGCACAACAGGCACTTACATACTTTTAAAAATAGTAATCAGTGAGGCTAGTGCCATAGGACAGAAGGCTAAGCAGTGCTAGCATCCGACATGGGTACTGGTTTGACTGCTGACTGCTCCACTTTGAAAGCAGCTTTGTGCTAATGCGTCTGGGAATGCAGCGAAAGTTGGCTTGAGCCCTTGGGCTGCTATAAAACATGGGAGACCCAGAAACTCCAGGCTTCTGGCTTTGGGATAGCCTACCTCTGACCACTAAAGACATTTGAAGAGTGAAGTAGCGGATCAGAGATTTCTCTGTGTGTCTTTTTCTTTCTCTGTAAATCTGTCTTTGAAATAAAGATGTGGAAATCTTTAAAAACTGGTAATAAGCTTGTGAGAAAATATAGTCAGATTAACTTTGTTAGGCTAGCACAATGGGCTATTCAACATAACGATTGTTCGCTTGGTAAAGGTTGTGATCTTTGTAATATTAGTGTACCAGCAACACATGATCAAAAATATTACACATTCATTGATTGCTTTAATGTATGGTTTACACTGGAAATACTTTACACATATTCATTTAATACATACAATGCTGTACAATAAGATTGAGTGTCACATGATTATCATCATGTTGCTTTTGCATCTTAGATTGTAAAATGGGCATTGTTTACTGACTAGAATGTAATGATAGAATAAAGTGTTTTGTAAAAGGACTTGATCAGAAATTTGGAGTTGAAGCACTTGATAAATTATTACCTTCCAGATTCTGTCATAAGTTGTTTAGAAATGAGAGAGTATTTTAGAAAATTATTTGAAAATTCAAACATAAACTGAGTTGGACTTCAAAATGGACATTTTGGCAAATCACAAATTTATATTTCAGTATCAAGCCAACCAAAATAACCCTCCAACCCCCCCCCCAGCAAAAACATCACCCAATACCTATCCAACCAAGATCACTAACCGAATTACCACACGCCATCACGGTTTTCTCCTCCACAAACAAAAACCCAATCCCCCTCCAACAATATGTTACACCCCCCAAATAAACACAACCAATCAAAAAGAACCCCAATCCTACTAACAAAATACCTCCCCAAAAACCCCCCTTCACACTCCCTAAACCCTCTCGATCCCACCCTCGCAGTTACCATTAAAATCAGATAAGAGAGAAATCATATTTAACCGGAGGACCTACAATTGTCGACACCAACAGTCAAAGTTACGTCAAAAAATACACAAACTACCCAACAAAAATACCCAATATCCCAAACCCCAACCTTCACTATACCTCCAACATCCTATAAAAAAAAACCAAACCCGAAAAACCAACCACCATCAAAATTAAACAACCCGCCTACAAAACTCAAAACTCAAAATAAGATTACATACAAACCCCCCCAATCGCCAACCCCCCCCACCCACCTGCAAATAAAAACACAACAATACATCACATAAAAAAAAATAATCTCTACCCAAACCCAAAAAAAACCAACAAAAAACAAAAAAAAACCTAAATAACTACCACGTCCCCTGATATTGAAACAACAGCCAACGGAAGTAATTACCCCATAAACAACTAGCACATCATTGAAGTCCAAAGGAAAAGGTTTTCAGCACTGTGTGAAATATGATTTTCAGCCACGCAAGGTAGGGAAAAGTAAATATTTCTCTTTGAAATGACTACTGTAAAATTTACATGTAATGAATTCTGCAATACTGTGTTTTGCTAATTTTGCTAAGATTGTTAATGTATCCTTTTCTGAATTTTCTTCTTATTGCTTTTTTTGAATTTTGGCCTCCAGAAGAGCAGTCTTAGGACCTCTTGTGTGTCTCTTTCCATGCTTTGAATATCTCTTGGCATCTTCAAATATAGTGATTGAATGTTTATTGAGTACCAGTCGCTGGTCCAGATACTTAGGATTTGACAGTGAATGAAATAGAAAATATCTCTGCTTTCCTTTTTTTAAGGTTTGTTTATATATTTGAAATAATGAGTTGCACAGAGGGAGAGACAAAGATCTGCTGTCACAAATTGTTTTAACAGCTGAGGCTGGTACAGGCTGAAGCCACGAGCTCTGTTGTGGTTCCCCATGGGGATGACAGGAGCCCAAGTATTGGACCAGCTTAGTTTGTTTTTCCTGGTACGTTAGCGGCAAACTGGATTGGAAATGAAGTAATGACGACTCTTGACAGTGCTCATTTGGGATGCTGGCATTGCAGGTGGTGGGTTAAGCATCTTTGCCACTTAATTCTTGACATTGTTACACTGAAGAATTGTATCCAGCTCACGTTAGTCCTCAGCTTCTACTCCTGTTTTCAGGGTTCTCAACTTTGTTCTGAGTTTTGCTCCCAAGTGTCTTGAAGTCTTAGTGGCCCCTGGCCTTTAGAATATGTGGCATTGAATTTACCATTTTTGGTTCTACAGCTATCTATTTTCTTAAGTCCTCAGTTCTCAGCTTTGACAAGAAATTAACTATCTTCATAATAGTTGGGATTTGAGTGCATTTGTTTCTTTAACCCTTTTTAGTTTTTATATATATATGACTAGTGGCCAGGGCTCTGGCTGTGGGAGGAAGTGGCTCTCTCTCCAGCTTGCTGCCCTAGAATGTGCTGCATGGAGGCCCATGCAGAAGGGCCAGCACCCCCAGGCACCTCCACCCAAACTCCAGTTGCTGTAGCTGCTGCACATGGACACACCCCACAACCTCCCCAGGTAGCAGACATGGGCCAGGCCTTTACCTCACTCCCATCTGCACCCACCCAGACCATTAGCCTCAGAGCCACATACCAGGGTGCAGCTGCCAAGCTCTCACCAGCCCTCCGCTCCACACCTTTGCTGCCATCAAGGTGGTTCTGTTGTAGGGATGCCCTTGTGGCCACAAGACCCCCAACAGTTGGCTTGGACAATGCTCTTTGCCCCTTAGCCACTGGCCAGTTGCGGCTTCAGTGGTGGGCCTTGGCTGGCGTCCCAGCGATGTTTTTTTGTACAAGAACCAGGTCCAAGTGTTGCTTCCTCTTCCATCTGGAAGCCAAACTGCTCCTTTATTTTTTTAGAGCTGCTCATTGTGAATCTGAATCTTAAGCAAAACCAAATGTATTTCTAATCAATGGAGAAATAAACTTATTTAAATAAAACATGCTTTTTAAAGTTTTTACTTCAGAAATTCTTTACGTTGCCTTCTCCTCATCTCAGATCACTTGTTTCTTGTTCTTCCAAATTACTTTTATGTACTTTATACTAATTCCCAGTTTGCCTTCCTGATCATTTTATAAGAGCACTCCAGCTCATTTTTTGCATTCCATAAACTATGGAATAAATTCAGATTTTTAACCTCATTATCCATGATTTTGATTTGCCACAGTTTATAAAATCTTTTCCTTTCAGTGTCTGTCATGCACACCGTTCGTACATGCACTGTTTCACAGCTAGGCCTTCATCTCTCTCCCACTGCTCTGTTCTGTTTCCTGTAACGTTTCTAAGGCACTGTGCTTGATTTATGTTGCTTCCAGTTAGTGTTTCTCACAACATTTTATTCCTGAATTTCTAGTCATAGTTACTCCTCGTAAGCCTTTATTTACTCATGTATTAAGTGTGTTATTTGATAAATGTTGATGTAAAGATCTATGTTGGATTTATTTTTTATTTCCCTCAGTGTTCTCACAGAGAACAATGAAGCTGATAGAGTTACAATAAGATATAGTGGGTAAATGAATAAAAGTGCTTTTTGGTTATTTTTGCTCTCTTTCTCTATATGGAAAATTAGAGTATTACCCATGAATATTGAGACAAAGTTAATGCTTTTTGTGAAAGTTTTTTATACAGATATAATGGAAAACATGAGTGTTTAGAATGCTGAGAATTGAGGGCCTGACACAATAGCCCAGTGGCTAAAGTCCTCCCCTTGCAAGTCCAGGATCCCATATAGAAACTGGTTCTAATCCCAGTGCCCTGCCTCTCATCCAGCTCCCTACTTGTGGCCTGTGAAAGCTGTTGAGGACAGGATGGCCCAAAGCCTTGGGACCCTGCACCCTCATGATAGACCTGGAAGAGGCTTATGCAAACTAGTGCCATTCAAATACAAAACACATCATGATGATCAATCCCAAGGCCAACCTCAGTCTGTTAAACAAAAGGAGAATTAACAATAAAACCTAGATGTGCTACAATGGGCAAATGCAAGAAAACAGAAAAGTAGCCGACTATACTGAAAACAGAAATAAGTGACAGGCCACAAGCAGGGAGCTGGATGGGAAAAAGAAATCTGGAAATAAAGATCCAGAACTTTTGTGTTATTTTAGTTAATTATATTTTTAAATGATAATAATTGGTTCATACACATATTTTTTCTTTCAGTTTAACTTTCTGGGAATAACAACTCTCCCTTATCTAAGATTTTATTTTCACAATTTCAGTTAATTGTACACTGAAAATATGTGAAAATCTTCAGGTACAGATAAGGATACGTATATATGTATATATATTTAACCCTGTCCATTCACTTGGAATAATACTCTCACGTGCTTCACTGCATCTTTTGCACAGTAGATCCATTTAAATTTGAAGAAACAAAACAATGATCTTTTTGTTTCTCCTTCCACATGCATGTGGTATATTGTCTATGACGGCTTTGCCAAGTTTATTAAGGTGTCTTCCAGTGTTTCCTGTAACTTTAGTTTTATATTTAAAATTTAGACTTGGGGCCCAGCAAGGTACCCTAGAGGCTAAAGTCCTCGCCTTGCATATACCAGGATCCCATTTGGGTGCCAATTCATATCCTGGCAGCTCCACTTCCCATCCAGCTTCTTGCTTGTGGCCTGGGAAAGCAGTTGAGGATGGTTCAGAGCTTTGGGATCCTGCACCTGTGTGGTAAACCCGGAAGAGGCTCTGGGCTTCTAGCTTTGGATTGGCTCAGCTTCAGCCATTGGGTTGCTTGGAGACTGAATCAAAGCATGGAAGATCTTCCCCTCTGTGTCTCCTCCTCTCTGTATATTTGACTTTCCAATAAAAATAAAATAAATCTTTTAAAAAAATGCTGAGAAGTGGTATATTCTTTCAC